GAGTTCTTTAGGGACCATTTCACTGTATCCCTGGCTCTTTGAACACTGTGTTCTCCTAAATCAGCGGTCCTGCAAGTCAGGGGGCTACCTGAGCCATCTTCATGAAGTTTAATGACAGCTAACTTTCATCCTAAAATTGTCTATTTTCAGGGCATGTTTTTCACTAACTACAACTTCATGTAATAAATTTTTGGTTAGTATGATTATAGGATCATTAAAAAAAATCTGAAAAAAGGTTCAAAGTGAATCACAGTTAAGTCATCAAAAAGGCCCATAGAAGTTACAGTATCTATAAAGAACAGTACAGCATACAGGCTTATGGCAAAAGATGAGGGGTCTTCCTGTATGCATACTGGCCAAAGGCACCGCCATAGAGCAATTACATAAAAGCAATCTGTAATTCACTCAGGCCACCAGATATGGAATTAGGCAACGCCAAAACTAATTTTGTTGACTAGAGGGAGTCAGGGCATATCAAGTCTTCCACATAAGGGTGAGGTTTTACTACTATTTGACAGTACATTTTCATAGTGTACATGTAGATATATTTGTATCACATGGAATCCTGCCATACTCATTAAGATGTGTCTTCATTTATTTATTAATAAGGATTTTATGGAATGTCACCTTTTACTGGTATTGGTTTCTCTGTCCAAATCTGACCTGTGCCCTCCTTTTTCCTGCCAAAGTGAACCCATCCAGTCTCAAAGCTTTAAATTCTATCTAGACGTTGATAAACTGGAGCCCTGGGGGAGTAGCATTGTCGGGTAGGTGTTGGACTGCTAGCAATATAGTCAGTGGTTCAAATCCCCCAGTCACTCCCTGTTCCTATAAAGATAAACGAAGCCTTAGCAATCCTCGGTTTGAGTGGGGTATGTGCTGATGACTCTTCAAAGACAGTATTTCTAGCCCCAGTCAACTCTACGCCTCTAGAAGAATGTCCAACATCCGAGCCAGTCAGGGTGCGGTATAGCACCGGTGAAACATACAACTTTCCTCCAGTTCTTTAATGCTTCCTCCCCACCCTCCCCCCTGGCCCCAAACCCACCACTATCATGACCCCAAATCTACCTTACAAACACGGCTAGACCAGAGATGTACACCGGTAAGATAAGAGCTGGAAACATAGGAAATCCTGGACAGATAAACCCCTCAGGACCAATAATGAAAGAAGTATCGATACTAGGAGGGTAAGGGAAAGGTGGCGGGGAGAAAGGAGAAACCAATCACAATGATCTACGTAGAACCTCCTCCCTGGGTGTGTCAGTCTGGGTACATTAGAAAAACAAATCCACGGGAAACTCATATGTATATAAGAGAGAGTTTTATATAAAGGTTAAGTGCCCATCAAGAAAACATCCCAACCCAGTGCTGTCCAAGCCCCTAAGTCCAACATTAGCCTATATGTCCGACACCAATCCACAAAGTCCTCCTCCATCTCACAAAACACACGCAATGACACCGACTGCAGGAGGAAAGCCGAGTCAGTGAGTGTATAAGCATCCCAGTGCTGGCAGGGGTCTCCACACGGCTGCTCAAGGACCCAGGGTGCATCGGGGTAGGTCCATGCGGCTTCTCCTTAGGGATGTCTTGCAGGAAGTGAGCTTTGCCAGCTGAAGCAGGTAACTGGCTAAGGCAGCTGCACCCTAGTCCAACCATCAGAAAGCAAGAGACCGGAGAACTGGAAAGGCAAGGCTCACTAAGCCATTTATCTCTCCGCCCTTCAATTAACCCCACTTGTGTTTATCAGCCAGGTTGGCACAATAAACCTTAAATATCTCACTGGGGGACGGATAATGGAAAAGTGGGTGAAGGGGGCCATGGGACAGTGTAAAACATGAGCTGAAAATGAGCTGATACCAAGGGCTCAAGTAGAATGAAAATGTTCTGAAACTGATGGTGGCAGCAACTGTGCAATTATGCTTGATCTAATTGAATTATGGATTATGGATCGTTATATCTGTAAGCGCTCTCAGTAAAATGATTAATATCTTTATCTATATAGTGATCGTAACACCTCTGCATCAGTTGACAGCAGTGGCTCTCAACCTTCCTCATGCCGCCACCCTTCAATACAGTTCCTCATGTTGGGGTGACCCCCCCCAAACATAACATTATTTCTGTGGCTACTTCATCACTGTCATTTTGTTACTGCTATGAATCAGGGGACCCCTGTGAAATGGTCGTTGGGCCCCAAAGGGGTCGGGACCCAGGGGTTGAGAACCACTGCTCTATAGGAATCCAACCCAAGCCACACTCTTATCTTTAGCCAGGACCACTGCAAGGCCTCCTGCAAGTTACTGTGATTCTGTTCTTATCCTCAAAGTCTGTCCTCCACTCAGGGTTCTGAGAAGACCTGGCGAGTCTCAGAGCTCCAACTGTATCCACTCACACAGGGAGCACGGTTCAAATCCTCTCCAGGGCCCGCACGATCTGGCTCCAACTTTCCTCTCTGATCTCATTTCTTATCACTGTTTCCTCCCATAACCACCTCTCAGCCCGAGTTCAGCCAAACTAGCTGACTTCCGGGTCCTCCATCATGCCGAGCTTCTCCGACCCACAAGGCCTTTCTTTCTGTGCTTGCCGCTTCCCCTCAGCCAACACATGCCTCTCAGGTCTCTTCATGCCTCCTTCCTTCATTCCAATCGTGTCTCTGCACAAAAATCAACAAGGGCACGCGTGCACACGCGCAAACTCTCCCATGCACACACTCTCCAAGGTCTCAAACAATTCTCTCAAAAAGAGTCCCCTCACCGCCACCCCTTCAACCTACTGTCCTTTGATCCTTCAAGTCGATCCCAAGCACAGCCACCACACGTGACAGAGTGGACGTTCTCCACAGGACTGTCATAGCTGGGATCTTCACAGGAGCGATCACTGGGTCGTCTTCCCTCAGAGCCTCGGAGCCTGGGTGGGTTCGGATTGCCAATCTTCCCGCCAGCGGTTGAGCGCTTGGATCCCCTGGGCTCGTCACCTTGCTTTCTTTTCCTCGCAGCCAAATCATTACGCAAGACTGCATTACTACTTAAGTGTCTGTTACTCCGCTCGCCACACAAACGTTTACTGAGCTCCCACCACACGGGAGGCATTCAAAGAGCTGGGGACAGGGCAGTGGAGCAGACCCACCAAGGACCCCTGTCTTGGTGGCCCTCCCCTGCCTCTGCTCATCACCTCTGGAACCCAAGCTGAGGGAGACATGGCCAAGTCTCTCATGACTGCTGAACCCTTGGTGCCTTGGCACACAATGAGCACTCAGCTCAGAGCTGCCGGGTGGATACCGTCTATAGTCATAGATAAGCCGAGTTTCTCAGCACATTGTTTTATGCAGTTGTTGTGGTGAAATTGGGTGCCTCAGCTGATAATTCAGATTGGCTTATACTCAAGTATATTCGGTAAGTAAAAAATCAGCTGCTTCAGGGGGAACCAATTACAAGGATCTACATATAACCTCCTCCCTGGGGGATGGACAACAGAAAAATGGGTGAAGGGATACATCAGACAGTGTAAGATAGGACAAAATAATAATTATTTATAAATTATCAGGGGTTCATGAGGGAGGGGGGAGAGGGGAGGGAGGGAGAAAATGAGGAGCTGATATCAAGGGCTCAAGTAGAAAGCAAATGTTTTGAGAATGATGATGGTGGCAACAAATGTACAAATATGCTTGACACAATGGATGTATGTATGGATTGTGATAAGAGTTGTATGAGCCCCAATAAAATGATTTTTAAAAAAAAATCAATCTAAAAAGTGGAGCTGATATCAAGGGCTGAAGTAGAAAGAAAATGTTTTGGAAATGATGATGGCAACAATTGTACAAATGTGCTTGATACAACAGATGTATGGATTTTTATAAGAGTTGTATGAGCCCCCAATAAAATGATTTGTTAAGAATTTTTTTAAAAATCAGCTGCTTCATGGAGGACTCCCATGACAGAGTTCTTCCTGTCTACCCAATGGGACCCGGGTGGTAGGACCAGGATGTCCACTCTGTCTCCCCTTCTGGTTGAGTTGGGTCCCTAGTCATGGGCCTGTGTGTCTTGATTAACTGCCTGTTCCTCCCAGGCCCACCCCTAGAACCCTGCAAGCACCCCAGGAAGTGGCTGTGACCTTGGGGTTGGAAGCATAAGAGCAGCTGATCCACACAGCAGGCACCAAAGTGGGCCATCTGGGTCGGACCGGCCAGTCTTGCTCCACAAAGGAGGCTGGAATGACGTGCGCAGGTCATCTGCCCTCCTGGATCATGGTCGTCCCTCCCCTCAATCCCTCAGGAAGCTGCCAACACCAACCAGGTATGCTGCCTTGAAGCACTCTCAACCCAGCAAGGAAGACACTGCTGCTGAGGACATATTTCTGTCTCTTTCAACTGTCATAGAGGCGAGACGTTTACCTGCTGTGATGAGTAATTAAATGCCTTTCAGAAGAGGAAGAGTATTTGTTAACTGCGAAATTATCTGATCTCACATAAAAATGAAGCCAATTGTGAAGCACAGTTAATTTATCTTTCAAAAAATAGCAGCTGCAGGGGTAGGGAATTTTAAAAAGGAAATGCAAATCTCTTAAAGAACCACTCAGCGAGTGTCAGACAATGGGTTGAAAACCCAGGTTTCCAACACAGATGTATTCATATTCTAATGTCCTTGTTCACTAAGAGCAGACCGGCTGCACACACCTCAGCATTGATTAGTGTCTCCTTCATCTGCCCAGCACTGTACTGCCTTGGCCGCATCCTTGCATACATGATAGCAAACCTGTGATGGAAGTATGGCAGGACTTGTTTCTCTGTTTGGGACCCAGAAAGGTCAAACAATTCACCTAAGATCTCACAACAAAAGTGGTAGGACTGACCAGGTACCAGAAGACTAACATATCTAGGCCCGGTCCAGGGGCCTCCCTTGTATATTAAAATTAACAGCACAGCCCTCTGCAAATTACCTTCTACAGACAATTGAAAAAATGTCCCTTCACCACAGCAGAAAGGGAAAAATGTATCTACTCACCAGTGGTTTGTGGTGGTGGGAAGACGCATTGGGACTGGCACTCTGGGCAGAGAGGGGGCTTCACACACCTCCAAAGGATGGCAGCTCCTGCAATGACAAAACACAGAACGCCTGGTATGAATCACAGAGTCTCCGACAGGGGGGAAGGAGGGGGACATCAGAATGCTAGCCATCAAGAACTTCTCTCTCCGTTCCTTCTTCAGCCTTCTCTTTCAGTTCCACTCCTTCCCCCACCACCCTGACTTCCCCAAACAGAGGAATCTTCAATTCACCTGGTGAAATAGTTCCCAAGCTCAACCAGCTACTTTGAAGCCCTAAAAGCCATAGGCTCGTGGACACAAAGGAGCTTGAGAGATCTCTAAGGGGGATCCCACACTGGTAACTCAATGAGCAGCTGCGTTCCCTGCAGAGCTGTGTCAATTGATCCACAGGCTCTCAGTAGAAAAAAATGCAGTCAAATCTTCAAAGAGATGTGACATAGGAACACGGCTTTCTTGCTTTTCTTTAAAAGACATTAATAATCAGATGATCTATCAACATGATCGCCTGGTGCTAAGCAGACAGAGGCAGGATTTGATCTAATAGCCACAGTCCACACTGCTCCCTACTGTCTCCTGACCACAGAGGAGAGCTGTCGTTTCCACTTATCATGGCCCTTGCATTGTTTTCCTTGTGGTAGGGAAATACTTCCCCCTGCCTGGGTCTTGAACAAAGATGGAAAAATAACAGGTGAAAGAGTTGAGTTCCAAGAAAAAACTACAGTAGAGAAGAAAACAGCAATGGAGGTAGCAGGCTCACTCCTATACACACTTGCAATCTCTGAACAAGCCCAACACTGCCACTTTACCCACCAGCTAACTGTAAGCCGGAGACCGGCGTGCCCATCCGCACAGCTGAAGGCAGAGACCATCCTAGAACCCAGGTCTCTGAGCAGTCAATCCAGGCCTCTTTTACTCTACTGAATTGCATAGTGGTTCAATACTATGACTACACTATTTTTAAGTGTACACATATAGATACACACTGATATGTATGTACACATATACACACATTTTCACTTTAGCTTTGAGAGTAATTTAAGTCCAAGGACACAGAGTTAAAGTATCTAACCTATTTTCTACTAAGATGTCTGCAATATCTTCATTCGTCGCCGGAGAATACATGAGTAACTCATTTCAAGTTCTCTACGGGCTTCTTTCCTAATGATGTGACATTTTCAATAATTCCACTGTATTACGTCCCAAAAAAAGAAAGCCTCACAAATTCTATGAATCTACATGTGAAGGCTTCCAAATGCTCGGCTAATATTAAAACTACTTTAAACATACTTTATGTGAGAAAATCTCCCTTACAAAGCTTCTTGAATATAAGACTGTAAACAAACTTATGTACAAGGTCCTTGCATTGTAATAAGTAATGTTCAACTATAAGATCTTAGTGGGAGTGGTGCCATTCCATCAAAGAATGTATTGATTCATTCACTTGGCAAATATTTACCGAACTCGACTACATGCCAGGAAGTGCTAAGTAACCAAGAAAAAAGGTGAACAAGACCTAGTCTTTCCCCTTAAGTTGCTCTGCCTTGGCAAAAGGCAGACCCACACATTCAAAAAGGTAACAATAAAGCATCAGGTAAATGTATTGACAGGTATAAAAAGGTGTCATGGCAATACTGAACCGGGCATCTCATGTCGCTGAGGAAAGCAGATGGGCTTCCTGGTGTGGTCTGAGGCTTGGGAACAAGTGGACCAGTCATGGCCAGTTAGGAGGGGAAGGTGGGAACTACAGGCAGTGGGTAGTATGGACAGAGACAACCAGGACTTAAGACTCGGTTCAAGAGTCTGGGCTTTGGGGGGAGTTTAGTGGCGCAAACAATTAACATACGCAGCTGCTAAGGGAAGGCCTAGATTTTCCAGTCCACTCAGAAGTGCCTTGGAAGAAAGGCTTGGCGATCTACTGCCAAATAATTGGCATTGAAAACCCTGGAGCACAGTTCCATTGATACACATGGGGTCACCCAGGAGTTAGAATCAACTCAACAGCAACGGATACTAGGCATTTTATTCCCTTGTTTGTTTTCATCATGCTTAGTATGTTTACTTATTCCCAGCATTCTATTATGACACCACTAATCAACACTTTTTTACTGCATGTAAATAAAAAAATCTAGAACGCTAGAAGATAGCAGGACTAAGTCTACGGGGACCACCTTTTTTGCCCACTGTACACTATCACCCAGGCAAGTATCTCCAGACAAACAGTAGGGGCTGCCCAGTCTCAGCAGCGGGTCTGAACCCTCAAACACCTGTGTGAGCTTAGTCTGGCACAACAGAAGAGCCAAGAACCCCCAGCCATCGAAGAACAGCTTTTGAGGAACAGCTCCAAGGCCACAGTGGCCTGATCAAGTCCAAACTGTCGGCCGAAGGGCAGGACCCTGCAGATCGATTCAAGGCTGGAGTCTGCCAAGCTGGCTGAGTATTCCTCTTCCCGGATTTCCACTTTGCGGTCAGGTAATGGCCTGAGCAATCAGGCCACTAATAGCAAAGTAAATGTTGTGTGCCGCAAAAATGACAGCTCAGACTAAGCTGGTTCCCTGAATGGAGAGCCCCGAGAGATCTCTTCTCTGATGCTACGAAGGGACCTTCAGTCAGCCCAACACCCAAGGGAGCCATGGATGCCCAGCGGCAAGCCAGAGTACCCGTTCATCACCAGAGCAAGGGAAGGTCCTCCAGTTGAGTCACAATGCCAATTAAATGTGTGGGTGGGAAAGCCTAGGAAAAGTTCAATCAAGATACTAATTTCTCTTTTCTGGTAACTGTCCGTTTTTAGGAGATTCACTATTTCCAGCAGTGTTGTTGATAGCCTTACCTAAGACAAGGCCTCTCTCTGAACTCATCCTCCAAGCCACCGGGTTTGCTTCAGCCCCTGCCTGACAAAGACAGAGCCATCCTCTCCCTCACCTGTGTCCTCACTGCAAACCCATCCCAAGAACAGAGAGCAACACTGGCTGTCATGCAAGCCACCTTCTTGTTGTGACTGCTGCATGACCACCTTCATTCGGACCAGGCATCAATGTAGTCCTCCTCCCTACTTCCGGAGCTGCTCCGGACCCATGTTCTCATGGCGCCCTGTAGCTCTGTGCATTGCGTGTATGACTTACATCTATTATTGTGACTTTTTAAAGACTATGTCTTCTTTCCACTAGCCTACGCAGACAGGGATCCATGTCATATTCATTATTTTATTTTGCTTTGTCTTTGTCACCATTATAGAGAATTTTTGTTCCGCTTCATATAATGGATGTATGGATTGTTATATGTGAGAGCCCCCAACAAAATGATTATTTTTTAAAAAGAAAGAAAGAATTTTTGTTTGACTATCTGATGAGCACTTGCTCCAATGGAGTACTTGGCGTTTTCTTCTGGGTTCCTTGAAAAGCAACTCCAAATTACATCCCCTCCATGAAAGGATGATCGACCCATTCCCAACTTCTCAGTCTTGCCACTTGCTTCTAGACGCTCTCAAGACACTAACTGAATGGATTAGAACTAACTCTGGTCAGCAGCTTAGTCTAATCTTGGGGAATAGCTAGCCCAAGTGGGTCTCCCTGGCCTCTCCATATTCACTCAGCATGAAAAGAGGGTTTACCAGGTGAAAAGAGAAGACAACCATCAAGATTTATAACCCAAAGTTCCTCTTGGGCCCCATCGAGAGTCTTCCCCTAGTCTGATGCTCTCTACCTGAAGGTAATAATGGCAGTGACCAATGGGCCCTTGCAATAGGAGTCTTATCATAGCTATAATTAGGAAGCATGATGCTGTTTCAAATTTCAGGGCTGGTATCAGTCTCCACGACCCTGAGACCATAAGAACTAGAAGGTGCCCGGCTATCAATACAAACTGTTCCCCAAGGGATCATGCTAGAACAGCGGTTCTCAACCTGTGGGTCTCAACCCCTTTGGGGGTCAAGCAACCCTTTCACAAGGGTCACCCGATTCATAAGAGTAGCAAAATTAGTTATGAAGTAGCAATGAAAATAATTTTATGGTTGGGGGGTCGCCACAACATGAGGAACTGTATTAAAGGGTCGTGGCATTAAGAAGGTTGAGAACCACTGTGCTAGAAGGTCTTGGATAGAGTGGAAGAAAAATGTGGAACAAACAAAATCATAAGAGTCCCAGGCTTACTGGTCAGAAAGAGACTAGGAGAACTTCCAAGGCCACAGGCCCCTTAGCCACCCTTCGGGTTGGAATGGCACTCCCCACCCGGTGGCTCAATTATCAGCCAAGCAATGGGCAGGTCTATAGGAGAAACCATAAGGTATATACATAGACCTTAGAAATAATCAGCCATTTGAACCTAAAAGGACAGCCTTTGCCCAAGGATGCAGTTCAGAAGGGTTGGGAGAAGAGGAGGAAGAGAAACAGGAAAGGGAAGGAGGAAGTGGGATAAGTGGTGGTACACTGAGGAATGCAATGAATGAGATGAAAACAGAATGAAGGTAAAAGTGATGACCTACATGTAAACCTTCACCCCAACACCATGAGACAAAGCCGATGTATATGTGTGTAATGCACACACACATGCGCACGTGTATATTGCTGTTGGATGCCTATTTGATGCCAGGGCTTTACGTTACCCTTCTCAGCCTATAAAATTCCAAATCCCTGATCATGGCTGTGCTACAGGCCCAGCCACTGCTATTTGTGTGCCTTCAGTCACCTGACTTGTGTGGCTTTGATGTATCCCGCCCCATACTGTTCACCTGGATGCAGACACCTGGCTCTGCCCCAACCACAGACCTCAGTCCAGGCTGGCCCCACTCCCAAGGTCTCACACACAGAGTCTGGCACACAAGGCCTGTCTGTGGAGGGGAACTAGACAGAACTTAGCTGCTCTCCTGCTGCCTCGGATTTGGCCCCTCTCTCCTTGTTCTGAATCCAGGGCTAATGTGCTTCCAGACCTCATTCTTTCAGATTCTCTCACCCTCTCCCTCCACAGACTCCAACTCCGCTATCAAAAATCGCAGACAGTCAAGGGGGGGGGATCCCCAAGCAGCCTTGAGGCAGAGGGAAGGAAATAAACTAC